GAACTGAGTGACAGGAATTCAAAGAATCGAGCAAATCAAACACTTGTTGCATGTACCGGACCAGTTACGTTTGCACAAGTGAACTATGATATGGTAGTACTTAATTTTTACATATTTATTTGCAGTTTTTAAATAATTGATTTTGCTATCCTAGACTTGATTTATTACACTTGACTTGATAGATTGATGAGGAAACCGGTGAAGAACCATTAGCTTCTGAGGCTTGGATGGCTCAACATGCAACTATGAATGACAATAACGAGCCTCAATGGGTCAATAATGAATCATTCCTAGCTTATGTAAGTGTTTATTTGTTACATTGATGAGTAAATTAAGGGAATCATTACAATTTATGAAGGCTTGCTAATATTTGTTTTCCTCAATTTATAGCAACAAATAAGAAGAGTTGAAGAAGAAGTTGTACCAGTCAATCCAAATGTTAATGTGTTGAAAGAGGCTTTCAAGACTCGCTCTGGTCGTATTCCTGGTACAGGAACTGGCTGCAAGTCAAGGAGACAAGCATCAATCAATACACAAGCTGGAAAAGTGGTCCAGCTTGAGGCACAATTGGCTGCGGTGACAACAAGATTAGAAGAACAAGCTCAACGAAATCAAGAGCTGACAACAAGATTAGAAGATCAAGGAAGGCATAATCTATTGTTGAACCAGAGATTTGAGAAACTAATGGAAATGGTAGAAAGTCAACAACATATGTCGTCATCATCATCAGAAGATACTCAAGTAAGTTGCTAACCCACCACCTTTAATTAAACGTAGGAAAAACTTAAATGTTAATTGATATTCTTCACTTAGTGCATAAGTTAACTTTATACTTCCAGATTTGGTTATATGTTAGTACTAGTTTTGCTAACAAATTTTATTATTAGTCTGAAGAAACTCTAAGTCCGGAAGAGAGGGTTGAAGAAGAGTTTGAAAGGGAGCAACGTTATTTGAAGGTATGCTAGTTTTTTTTTTTAATTCAAAGAATTTTTAAGATTTTATGATGAGAATATTTATATTTGAAAAATAAATAATGTAGGTGATGAATCTGAATCGAAAGAGGATTTCACCAACCAAAAAGTCTTCTGCTCCAAAGAAGAAGAAGTGATTTTTGGCTTGTGCAAGGTTTGTGTCAATCTTTATTTCTCGTCTCTTAGTGGACTATTATGTTGTTGGCTATATCTCTAATTAAAATTTTGAATATATTATTTCACTTCTTTAGGAAGATGGGAGTGGGACAAGAAGCATCTTTATGGATCAAATTTGAGCTATGATGATTCAAGAGAAACAAATTTTTATTCATCAATATTGTTGGCCCTATGAATTTCAACGTAGTTATTTTTATATGAGTTTGAATAATTATGATACATTAAGTACGATTGTTTTAGCTATTTATACATTTGGATGCTATTGATTTCATTAATATTTGGCTTATATATTCTTTATTTAATTTGATGCAAATGTGGATGATATATGGTATTAAAATTTATATAGAAAATGATTTGATGTCTCTAAAACAAGCACTTAGAGGACGACTCATTGTCTCTAATTGTAGTGTATATGGGATACTCATTGTCTCCACAAACGATTATTACAAGATGACTTGTTGTCTCCGAAAATCTACTTAAAGGACACCTTTTTGTCTCGAAAAATAGTTCTTAAAGACGACTATCTGTCTCCATAAACCATATTTAAGAGATGATTTGTTGTCTCAAGAAGTGGTACTCAAAGGACGACTCTTTGTCCCAAAAAGGAGATTTTAGGACACGACTTATGGTCTTGAAAAACATTTCATAAGAGACGAATTGGTATATCTAATAGCACTGTATAAGGGATGATATGTTGTCTCCAAAGATGGTTCTTTGGGAACAACTTGTCGTCTCGAAAACATTGCATTAGGGATGATTAAAAGTCTTCAAAGATAGTTGTTAGCAAGGCTTAATGTCTCGAAAACACTTCTTAGGAGACGACTTGTTGTCTCAAATAATGCTTCATATGGGACTACTTATTGTATCGTAATATAATTCACAGGGGACGACTTTTTGTCTCCTAAAATATTGCATAGGAGACGACATGTTGTCCTAAATTCGTAGAAAAATGGCGGAAAATTAATTCAAATTTTTTATTTTTTGGAGACGACTATGTGTCCTGATATTGGGGACGATTTTCATTTTTTGTTCCCAAAAGAATAGAGGACGGAACCTATAGGCACCACTCGTGGAGACGAAAATTTTCGTCTCCAAAAGATTTGGAGACGAAAAACCCATATTTTGGAGACGAAATTTTCCGTCCCCTAAACCTATCAATTTTGTAGTGTAGAACTATGTGTATCAGTTACTTACCCTACCTAATAAATATAACAATTTAATTAATATTAACCTCGCGGTGTGTTTTTTATTATCTCTTTTCTGGTTTCCTGTATTGCTAATCGTTTCCTTTTCATCGACTCCTTTTGTTTATTATTGTTGTTGTGTTTCTTTGCTGCTGTGGGATGAAGGTTGAAGGTGCTGCTAATAAGGATGGCAGATGCCCTAGTATTTGGGACAGATTTGCTCATGAGTTTCCAGGTCTCTCAACTTATAAAATGGTCGGCCTCTAAACTTAATTTCCTCCATCTGCAGTTAGGGTTTTGATGAATATATGATATGTTGATGACTGCAGATAGGATAGCCGATAGGAGCAATGGAGATGTGGCACTGGACCATTATAGCAATTATCCCGTATGTATATACTAGTTTTTTTGGTCCGCCCAGTGTATTAATCATTACAAATAATGTACGTCATCCGTTTGTTAAAATGAAACATAGTAAATAACTATTCATATATATAAGGTTTAGGTATTGTTTAATCATAATGGAAGACTTACATAATATTTTTGTTTAATTGATACATACAAAATGATAATATGTTCATAAAATTTACGTAGTGTAGTGTGTTAATTGTTAACGAAGACTCATGTAATATATTTTCTTACTTAATAGCTATCCCTGTATTAAAATTTAGTATCTAGTTTATATAAAATTTTAGAAATTAAATGAATTTTTAATTCATGTAATTGTTATAGAACTTTATTACATAAATCTTTCAAAATGTGTGATCTAATAATACAATCAAACTTTAGAAAGTAGCATATGATTAACCTATCACGTCAAAGTTAACTCACCTTACAGAACGTTCGCATAATGCTAATAGATGACATGTTAATTATTTTTGTTAACAATGATGGAATGAATTTCAGTTAATAATTTAAATAATTTATATTATTTAATAATAAATATTGAAAATAAAAGATGTTTACTTAATAATTAAATAAAAATGAGCTTATGATTAACGCTGAAAATAATAAAAATTGGTTAAATAACAATGAGCTTATGATAAAATTGGATCTAAGAAAAGTACCCGCTATAAAAAAGGGTTACAAAAATTAAGTATTGTTCATATTTTTTAATAATGAAAAGTAAAAAATAGTTGCACTTTTAATTATATAATAATAATAATATATTTCTCATTAGGTTTATTTTGCCTGACAATTTGGGAATTTCCTTCGACGTGCATACAGGAGGATATCGGGTCCAGATCGGGTTAGTAACTGATGGGTCAGTAACCCATCAGTAACCCCTTCTATGGTCCCCACGTGTCAGACACTTTTTTATTTAAATTAAATGTGAAAAGGGCAGTACAGTAAAATGACACTTTCTCCTATTTATTGCTGAGGCTGACTTTTGACCGGATCACATCAGCGCCTTCTCTCTCCTCGCAAAACATTTAATTTTCCTTCCCTTAATCCTTAACGGACGATTTCTCACTCGTTTTAAGTCGAAATTTAATTTTTTTTTGCACAGTTAGATCAGATTAATTGTGCTCTTCAAAATGATATCCACTTTGATATTTTTTGGACATAAAAAAATTTGTCAGTTATTACCAGTCTATACCATATGGTATTGACCATACCATATGGTATGAAAAAAATTTAACACATCAATATATATTACGTTACCACCCAATACCATATGGTATAGTGTGGTAATATTAATATATATTTCGTTACCACCAATACCATATGGTATAATATGGTAATATTAATATATATTACGTTACCACCCAATACCATATGGTATAGTGTGGTAATATCAATATATATTTCGTTACCACCCAATACCATATGGTATAATGTGGTAATATCAATATATATTTCGTTACCACCCAATACCATATGGTATAGTGTGGTAATATCACACAATACCATACAATATCATATGGTATAGTGTGGTAATTATCAATATATAATTCGTTACCACACAATACCATACATTACCATATGGTATAGTGTGGTAATATCAATATATAGTTCGTTACCTCACAATACCATACATTACCATATGGTATAGTGTGGTAATATCAATATATATTTCGTTACCACCGAATACCATATGGTATAGAGTTATAATATCAATATATATTATCTAAAAGAAAAAAAAACCGAAGGAGTTAGAGAAAAAAGATCGTCTTGTGTCGCCTCTCATTTCCTCTTCCGCAATTAAGAACACCAAAATGCCGAAAAAATGAGAAAGATCGAAATTGAGGCCAATGAGATGATGAAGAGAAGAAATGCAATGAAAAAGAGTGGCTCCAATTTTTATTCGTCATGAAAAAGTAAAGAAGAAGAGAAGGGAGCAGATTTAGATCTAGAAATGAGATTGAGATAGAAAAAGGAAGAGAGAAAGAGAGAGGATCTGGAAAAGAGATTGGGCGAGAAAAAGGAAGATAGAAAATTGCAGAGAAGTGATTTCTCTTTCTTTTCTTAAAAGTGCAGCCATTAAATACGAAATAAAATAAAATAAAGAATTTAATGTATAAACGGACAAAAATACCCTTCTCCACTCAGCGTCCGGCCCAACCACACGATTGCCTACCTCTTAGATCTATGGTCCCTATTCATTACTGACATGTCAGTAACCAGGTGGTTACTGACCCTATCTGCTGCCGAGGATATCCAAAGGATGAAGGCAATGAATTTGGATGCTTACCGATTCTCCATCTCCTGGACTAGAATCTTTCCACGTGAGCAATATCGCTCCTCTTCGTGTTCCATTTTTTTGTTTTAGTTATATATAGCTGGGTTGACTTATAGGATGAACGTTGATGTTTAAATCTTGGGACGCAGATGGCAGGATGCAGGACGGAATCAATGATGCAGGAGTCCAGTTTTACCACAGCCTACTCGATATGCTCATTGAAAACAGTACGTAGCCTAAGTTTGGTCAGTCTTGTTTTTTTTTCTTTCTAAAAGCTGAAGTCGGCCAACCATCTCTAAAAATTCAACTTTTAAAAATTGAAAATTACTTCTGTATAATATAAAAGTAGAAGCTACGAATCGGAGCTTATGCAAAAAACTGTTTTGAAAATATAAAATTATCCCTATCATATTTTAATTCTATTTTGGACAACATAATTTTATTTCATTTTAAAAATAAAATAAATTCGAAGAATGATTCAAATGTGGCCTTAAGTTTGTGACTCGTGAGTCAGACAACTGATGCAATAAGGACGATATTTGCCTGCATACCAGGCTGTAGGGGGAGCCTGCAACCTCCCCACGTGTGTCCATCCCATTTGTTGAGTTTACTCTTTTTTTTTTCCTTTTAAATTCAATAATAAATAGCCTAACGGAGATACAATAAAACTAACAGGAGCATTTATCATGGATTCCAATTATTATATAATTTTATCACCTCTTTGAAATCCCAAAAAAAGAGACCGTGTCCCACACTAAAAAGGACAAAGCAAGGGATTTTTATTTAATGAGAAAGCTATATATAGGGCTCAATTGTATGTTGATGTTGAGGTTTCTTTCAAAAGCACCGAGGGTTGTAGGGTAGTGCAGTTTTGTTGGTAACTCGCAATTGCGGACGCTTAGCTCAACGATTCAGGTATGGTTTCTCCTTTTTTTAGTGAACGTCCAAGTTGTTTTCGTTTGGTTTAATTGTCTTGATTAATAATCGTAGGTAACCTTATTTACTTCGTTACAGATTTGTATAAGTTATGCTCTAAGCTTTTATTAAAACTACTTTTCTCTATAATACGTGGTTATTACTTTGATTTTTAAATATTTGACTTGAAATATATTATATATCTTTCTAGGTTACAAGAGATGAGTGCAAATTATGAAGTGCCATGTATAGGCATGAAGTTTGATTGTGATGATAGTGCTTATGAATTTTATAAAGCATATGCACATGGTATTGGTTTCAGCGTGAAAAAGAACTTCATCAAGCGTACAAAGTCTGGACAGGTGAAACGTAGAACATTTAGTTGTTCTAAGCAAGGCAAAAAAGGTATTGATAAAAGGTCTGAGAAGGTAGCCTATGAAAGGCCAATAACAAGAGTGGGTTGTTTAGCAGAGATGACATGCCAGCTGAAAAATGATGGAATGCTTGAGATTGTTAAATTTGAAGCAAATCATAATCATGAGCTTACCCCCACTCCGATGAAGCATATGTTGAGGTCCAACAGAAAGCTTAGTTATGCTCAGAAAGTTATTGCAGATGATGCTGCAAAAGTTGGGTTGCCAATCAAAGGGACTATTGATCTACTAGCAATCCAGAATGGAGGTCGTCAACATTATGGGTTCTTGGATACAGACTACAGAAATCATATTGCTTCACGAAGACGATCTACAATGATTAAAGGAGATGGTGCGGCCATTATGGATTGCTTTCGAAAAACACAGTCAGAGAATCCATCATTTTTTTATTCAGTGCAACTTGATGATGATGATCTTCTTATGAATATCTTTTGGGCAGATGGCAGGTCAATAGTCGATTATAAGCACTTTGGAGATGTGGTGTGTTTTGACACAACCTATAGAACTAATAAGTATGGTCGGCCTTTTGCTCCATTTGTTGGGGTTAATCACTTGAAAGAGACGATAATTTTTGGGGCGGCATTGCTTTATGATGAAACAATCACATCGTTCAACTGGTTATTTGAAGCTTTTTTGAGTGCAATGGGAGGAATGCAACCCAAGACCATATTAACAGATCAATCAGCCGCTATGGCAAGAGCAATTGAAGAGGTATTCACTGAAACTCATCATCGTTTATGTGTTTGGCATATTTATCAAAATGCTGCTACACATTTAAGCCATGTGTTTCATTCATCCAAGCAATTTGCTAGTGCTTTTGGTGCCTGTGTATTTGATTACGAAGATGAGGATGAATGGCATCAAGCTTGGGATACTATGCTTGCTAAATATTCTTTGGAAGATAATGAATGGTTGCATGGAATATTCTTAGAAAGAAGGAAGTGGGCTATGGTGTATGGGCGTCATATGTTTACTGCTGATATGAAGAGTACACAACGTAGTGAATCAATAAATAATGTGTTGAAAAAGTATTTGAAGCCAAAACATAATATGGTATACTTTTTTGACCATTATAACCGATTGGTGGAAGATAGAAGGTACAAAGAGCTTTTGGGAGAGTTCAAACTGAGGAATACTAGCCCAGTCCTAAAAGCAGATGTTGTGATGTTAAAACAGGCATCTGATATTTATACTCCTCCAGTGTTTAAAATGTTTGAAGAAGAATATCTCAGAGCGTGGGATTGCACAATTGATAAGATCAGCAAAACTGTAAGTCATACAGAATATAAAGTGCAATATGATGGTAGAGGTACAGAGCACTATGTTCGATTGGAGCCTTCTCGTCAAAGAGTTGAATGCAGTTGCAGGAAGTTTGACTTTGTGGGGATTTTGTGTGCTCATGCTTTAAAAGTTCTTGACAAGAAAAATATAAAGCAAATTCCTCAAGACTATATATTAAAGAGATGGACAAAGGATGCAAAAGATGGAGATATCATAAGTGCAATTCAAGTTTGTGGAAGTGCAAAAGAACAGATCGGGAAGCGGTATTTCAATTTGAATTATAATTTTCGTGACATATCTACATTAGCAGCTGAGGATAACACTATGTATGAGCATGCATGCGGAGTTTTTTCAACATTGCTTAAGGACTTGCAGTTAATGAAAAGATCTTCACATGACGGAACCAACAATGATGTGTCTGGCTCGGATCATGAGCAAGACTATCCAACTGTGGCTGGAGTTAAGACAAAGGCAACTGTTGGACGACCGAAAAAGAGATTTAAAGGTCCATTAGAGCGACGCAAAAGTAAAAAAGTGCAATCAAAGTCACAGGTTCTCCTTTCCCTCTTCTTTTTATTTATTTAGATAAGCTTTCTTATGTCGTTCAATTATAGTAACGAACGAATGAAAAAATTAAATATTATATGCAGCTTAAGAAGATGGCGACAAATATTTCGCAACATGAAAGTGATGTTGAGTTTCAAGTTCGAAGTAATCAGGTATTTATTTATCCTTAATATATTTTAATAGAAAGAAAAAAAATGTTTCATATGCGTACATATCTAATCATAAACTACATATATGTGTATGTTTTTAGGGGACAGTTGGGCAATTTGACCCTCAAAGTTTAACTGTTGATACAACAAGACATAATCATGAAGATATTTTTGACTGCACAGTTCCTTCAAATAACATTTCATACACCCAATTGTTACAGGTATGTCGTTGAAATTATTGTTTCTTTGGATGTTCTTCATATCTTTATTTAACGCTATTGTTAAATTTTACCAATGCAGGAGGCAATTGCAAATTCGCATTCTGATGCACCAAAATAGGGAACACGTATTTTTGAACAATTTTGATTGATTTTATTTGTTTTGGAATTTGGAATGGATTAGGCTTAACATACTTTGAGATTTATTTGTTTGAACAATTCGAGATATTACATGTTTTGGGAGATTGATTGCATTTGTTGTTGATATTCTTAAATTCGCATAACTATAGTCATAGGAGTAGCAATCAATTAAGTTCATTATACTAGTATTGTGCAAACTATTTATTTGGTGCAATAAAAAACAAATAATTTCTACTTCCTTGAATTACACGAGAGAGAAAGACGGAGGGAAGGTGATAAAATTATATAATAATTGGAATCCATGATAAATGCTCCCGTTAGTTTTATTGTATCTCCGTTAGGCTATTTATTGTTGAATTTAAAAGGAAAAAAAAAAGAGTAAACTCAACCAATGAGATGGACACACGTGGGGAGGTTGCAGGCTCCCCCTACAGCCTGGTATGCAGGCAAATATCGTACATGCAATAATTAATGTTTCGTTTAATTTATAGAATTGGAGCCTTATGTGACAATATGGCATTGGGATACCCCTCAAGCCCTGGAAGCGGAGTATGGTGGATTCTTAAGCCGAAACATTGTGTAAGTAATTCATACAAAAAAAAAAAATGTATGTTTTTCTTTCACATGAATCTTTGATTCCTTTGTTGATCATGTTCAAACTGTGATTATATATGCAGGAAGGATTTCAAGGATTACTGCAACTTCTTGTTCAGCGAGTATGGCGACAAAGTGAAGAAGTGGATCACTTTGAACGAGCCGATGGTCCATGTTCAGCGAGGCTATGATGAAGGGCTGCACGCACCGGGACGCTGCTCCAGTTGGGCAAACAGAAAGTGTGTAGCCGGAGACTCTGCAACTGAACCTTACATCGTCACCCACAACCTCCTTCTTGCTCATGCCGCTGCCTACCGTTTGTACGAGGAAGAGTACAAGGTCTGTCAAGCTTTAGCTAGATTCCGTTAGTTGCTTCTTTTTTAGAACAAATTAATACTTGTCACCTGAAATTTTGGTTATAACACACATTTATTCGCGCAGGATGATCAAAAAGGGGTTGTCGGGATCACCATAGTCACGTTCTGGTTCCTTCCATATAACCCTGATGCTATAGCGGATCGTTTTGCTGTCGACAGATCTCTGGACTTCAATTATGGCTGGTACTTGGATCCTATTCATTATGGTCGCTACCCAAGAAGCATGGTGGATCTAGTGGGACCTCGTCTGCCAAACTTCACAAACCAAGAGTCGGACATGCTCAAGAAATCGTACGATTTCATAGGCCTCAATTACTACACCACCTATTATGCCAAGAACAACGCCGACTTCGACCCTGTGCATCTTCGATACACTCTCGACTCCCACGCCATTACTACTCGTACGTACTCCGAATTCTTTGCTGCATTGATACATGCACTATATAACTATTGTATTGTGTTAAAAAAGTAAGTATCTGAAGCATTGGTTTTTACTCAGCTAATTAACGGTAAAGATGGAGGCCTTATTGGTGACCCGGTACGTATAATCGTTGTTCTTATAACTAATGTAGCTAAAAACTGCACGCGCTTTAAAACTTAAAAATTTACGATTTTACGCTTCTAGATCACCAAAAACGCTTATATGTAGAAACACGCTTTTGACTACATTGTTTGTTTTTTTGGTTTCACTTCGCGGATGGGTTCCACATGGCAGTATAAGTATCCTGAGGGGCTCCGAAATCTTTTGAATTACACCAAAAACACGTATGAAGATCCTGATATTTACATCACCGAGAACGGTATAGCTATCAATAGCTCAAATAAAAGGATTACACACTCATTAATTAATTAATGAAGAGATTAGTAAAAAAAATACAATATTCTCAACTCATTAATTTTATTCTGAAAAAATAAAACAACCGCACAGGAATGGGGACGCAGGAGGACCCTGAACAGGAACTTGAAGAGGCCATAGCCGACACCATGCGGGTCGAATTCTACAACGACCATCTCGAGAGCATTTACCAGGCCATTAAGGAGGAGAAGGTGAAGGTGAAAGGGTTCTTCGCGTGGTCGTATGCCGACAACTACGAGTGGAACGACGGGTACTCGGTCCGGTTCGGGCTCAACTACGTCAACTACACGGATCGCACCAGGTGGCCTAAGCACTCTGCTTGCTGGTACTCCCATTTCTGCCGCCGTGAAGAACCCAAGGACGATAACAAAGCTGATAAACGCCAGCACTTCTGCCGCCGGAGGTCGCAAGGCTCCCCGCAGCGCTGCAGCTTACGCTAATTAATCAACTTAAGATCGATGGTACTTTTTAGTATTTGTCTTGACGACAACCGAATAATTGAGTAAGAGGAATAAGAAGGATCCGACTTTCACTACATTCAGCATGATTCAGTGTGAGACATGATCAGTGTTGTTATCCTTTTCATTTCTCTGTGCGTAGCAATAAACTGTTGTTGTTCAGGGAACGACGACGGATGATATGTTGTACTGTGTACTGTTGTTGTTCAATAAACTAGTGTTAGACCCCGTATTTAACCATCTACCATCCTATTACACATTGGTAAAAAGATGAAAACAAATAAACCACTGCAGAATTAAGAAGCTATAAGGACAACAGTTAGGGACGACTATTATAATTTGTCTTCGCAAATATGATCTTAAGTAATATAAGGGACAAGTGTATGAAGTCGTCCCCATAAAATAAAAAAACAACTTTTTATTAATGTGTAGAGCTTTTCAATTGTCCCCAAAAAAGAAAGTTTCAGTAGAAACGCATCTATAAGAGATATGGAAAAAAAATTGTGTGTGATTCACCATTATCACTCAATCTTGATTTGGTTTTTACTGGCGGACATTTTTAACTCTATAATTGTTTAGCGGAGAGCACAAGTTAGAAGTAGAACTGATACAAACTATTTTCTTGATTTTCATCCAGTTAATTATTGGTATAATTTAAATATTGAATTGACCATAGAACAAATAAATTAACATGTTTTTACTAATTTGTGTATACAAATTACTTAGGTTGACCAGCATTCTCAAAGACATACCTTAAGAGAGAACTAATAGTCCCAACTTGTTACATATATAGATTACCACTTACCAGTAGTCGTCCCTGAAAACACAAATTAGGAGACAACTAGTTGTCTATAAAAGTGACATAGGTAACACTTAGTCGTCCCCGACGTCACAGATTGAGAGACAGTTGATTATCCCTACAATTTGCATAGGGAACCATTGGTTGACATAAGATGGTGTTACGTGGATTTTCGATCCGGATTAGTACTTCCACGCAACGTGTCTCTCACGAATCGAACAAAGGAACTCGAGAATGGTTTTAGAACGAAGAGAAATATAGAGGATGTGAAGGTTAAAACTACTAAGCTACTTGGGTTCCAATCTTCTCGTATGATTAAACGAAAGACAAAGTACATATTTATAGGCATAGAAGTCTCTACCTTTTCCTATCTAGAACATGAAGCCTCTCCTACAAGAAAAAGATAACCAAATCCTAAACATACTAGAAAACAATCTAAATCCTACTAAGATAATTAAACAATAATAATATCTCAAATAATACGAAACACGATCTAATTAATAAACTACTAAAAATAGATGAGCCCAAAAATTTCTAGATTATTACGAATGACTCATATCGTAAGAGATGATCGTCCCTGCAAGTTAGAGACCTTTCAAGGCATAGGCTAAGGTAGGGTGTTGCAGAGTACACCTCCAGGTTCGAGAAGCTGATGCCCTATGGGGGACCCCCGTTCCAGGATGCGGCATCTCAACGTGCCCACTATTTGGAGAGTCTGAAGCCTGCCCTTAAGAAGCAGTTGAGCATGCTGGCATGGGACAGTCAGGAGGAGATTTATCAGGCGGCCCTTCGGATAGAGAGGGCTGACATAGCTGTGCATGAAGAAGGGATACAGTGACTCACTCATACTGTCACTCTAGAAAATGGCCAAGTGTAACCACTTCCTAAAGCGTAGTATAGCGGGTTTGGGTTTTAATGTCAACCCAGGTCCAAGATGTGATGACTACTCAGCGAATTCTTATTATCTAGAGGTGAAACTTTAGTGCAAGTTCAAACAAGCAAACAAGTAAAGCAAGCAATTAAACGGTTGTTTTCAAGTCGAGAGAGGTCCCCCGGATATGGTTCCCCCTAGACTGCAGTTAAGCCTGCTTGTAATTTACCAAGTTCAGTTTTAATGATATTTATACTGCGGGAGATTCTTAAACAGTCTGAAGTCTCGACTAAAGGTCTCCAGACCCTCTCAATCTGAGTCCCCAGCGGGCGACTAACCTCCACCGGAGTAAACAGATTGAGGCCCTAATGATCCAAACCTCCACTACCGAAGTAAATTCGGTACAGAACAGTGAATTGGCTCCTCGACTAAAGTAGCCAATTCACTACCTTCAATTAAGGGTGCTCTATTAACCTAGGCAGATATTCTCTTTCTAGGCTAAAGCAGAAATAACAGGAATTTGATCAGGATTCAACTCATTCAATCATTCAAGCCTCAATTGGATATAATCAAATCATAAAATCTGTACTTTGGTTCATACAATTAGACCTAACATACAAATCTAGGGTTCTCCATACCCAGATGAATAAGAAAACTACTCCATGGAGAGAGAAGCAAAAGCAGATTCAGATGCGGAAACCATACTGTGATGGATGGGTTTCTGCTCTTTGTCGTCAATCGGCACTTCTCCAAGTGTGAGCCGAGCTCCAATGGTGATGAAGATCAAGCTAGGGCACTTGGGAACTCTGGTTCGTCACTTTCTCTCTCTAGGAATCGCTCTATCTCTCTAAAACTCGGAACTCCCTTCTCCTTTGGCTCAAATCTGCCTAAAATGCCGACCCTGGGCAAAACACGGTCGAGGGCACGGCCGTGCTTTGGTTTTGCCCGCCCGTGTTTTTCCCGGTGTTAAAAACACGCTCGCGTCGGCCAAAACACGGTCGTGCCTAAATATGGACACGGCTGTGTTTTGCTTTAGGCCAGCCCGTGTTTTGCTTTTCCATCAGTTCAGCTCTCGGCAATAAAAACACTGGCGTGCCTGTTTGTGTACACGGCCGTGTTTTGGTTTAGGCCAGCCCGTGCTTTGGCCCCAGCTCGAGCGAATGACTTCCAAATGCCCCGAAACTCGTGCTTAGCCCTTCCTTCGACGTCCGGGACCTGAAATATGACAAAGTAGCACCACCCGGCGTAAAACGGGCCAAAAATACACGACTACTAGGTGCAAACAGATAAGAACTATGGGTGAAAACATGTGCAAATACATCGTTATCAAATTCCCCCCACACTTAACCGTTTCCTTGTCCCCAAGCAAACCTAACTCAAACCAATGCAACTCTCCAGACCTCTATAGCAACAAACAACCCCGATCGTCGGTAGAGGATTTTCTACATCATAACGCAGCTTACGAGGTCAACTGGTCTTCTAAGACGTCCCCTATCTCTCTCAATGCGAGTACTAGACTCAAGCCAAGATCACGAGAAGAAGTAGAAGTAAGACAGTCAGTTCATGGATAAAGGGACTCACACCATTCATAATAAAGGACTCGCGATACCGGGGTGCTCTTTCACTTCATTTCACCGTTGGAACCCCTTTTTCACTTTCATTTTACTTTTTTTTTTCATTCACTTAGCGGGCTTCCAACTGCAGTCTTTCGCACGGTCGACCCTTATTAGTCGAGCAAGAGCAATTTCTGTACATCTGGCGCTCGCCAGAGTACTTCTTTTAACTCCTTTTCCTCAACTCGTGTGGAGGGTCAATGAAATTAAGGGGGGTCGGAAGCTCTATCCGTGCCCTTAAAAACACATCCTCAAGTAGGCAAACCGTTCAACGGGTGGAAGTTTTACTTGTACTAGAGACGGCTTATCTTCACCTTGTAGGAGTACCCCACTAAGGATCACTAAAATCTCTTCCAAAACAATATTTTTGTGCAATGAACGGTGCCGCACACGTTGGGCTTACCCCATGTTTAAGATTTAAAGATTTTGACATGGAGGACCAACTGCATTTCATTTTTCACATGAGCACCATGTTCGATACACGAGTCCATAACACAATTCAAATAGAGTCACCATTATCACATGAATTCAACTGTCCTAGCTCCACTAATTCACAAAATCAACTGGCACAGCAGAGAGCTAGATAGGAAAAATCTTATACTTCAACATCCTCCATAGTGCTACACTACCTCCCTAGGTTGCACATTACTATAGAGAATGTCAATTCAAAGCATACTGAGCAGGCAATTTGCAAGGAAACACGTATTTGGAGCCCTCAAATTTAAAATTTTGGACAATGGACTAGGCTCCAAGCACACAAACATATCTAATGCAGTCAAAAGAGAAACATCCCCCCACACTTAAGAGCGACATTTCCCTCAATGGAGAAGAGGGAAGGATAAAGGGGAACGATGTTACCGGTGTGCACGGACTACATGAGACTGGAAGCGGACCAGTCTGAGTGAAGAGGACTGGAGAGGGGACCAGTTAGGGACAAAGCACATATAAAGGGAACAGAAGAACTCAAACACAATCCGTTAGGTCCAATTGTCAACCCAATAATACATCATCAAAAACAAAAGAAAACAAACCAAAACCAAACCAGTTTACAATCCGACCCAAAACAAAAGGAATAAATGAAAACCGTGGTGGGGTTGCCTTCCCACAAGCGCTTCTTTACCGTCTTTTAGCGGGACGCCCATGGTGGATATTCAGCGGGGTGCAGGAGCAGGTGCCTCCAAGAGAGGATCCACATCGCTCTTGAGGTACAGCTTCAGATGGTGACCATGCACCCGACGGGTGCGACCACCGAAATTGGTCAGCTCGACCTGGCCATACGACAAGATGCAGGCGAGTGAGTACTCGGATGGCCAGGGTGGTCGTGGTTCAGGAGGTGGAACCATCTCATAGTGGTCTCCACTAGGGGTGGGCATACGGTTCGGTAAAACCGAACCTAACTGAACCGAACCAAATATAAACCAAACCAAAACCGAATTAATGTTATTCGATTCGGAATTCGGAAGAGAAAATGGCATATTTCGGAAACCAGTGTCCGTTCGACCTAACTAAATTTCCGAATTCCGAACCGAAAAACCGAATTATTATAATTGCAAGCTCTAAATGGTGGGTTTTTATGTTTCTACTTATTATGAGACTTAAATATTTGAATTATGTTAGTGTTTTATGACTTATGTGTTGAAATGTTTGATTTTATCATTGATGATGCATATTTATTGTTTACATTAGGGTGAAAAATAAT